AAAAAAAAAAAGTGTGGCAGTGTATATTTCCGTATGCATATGAGTTGTACTGTCATGTTGACCCCGTAATTTATGTGCTTGTGTTCAACTTCCAGAGCTTGGGGCGACTGGAAGCACTTTCTACCTTGAACCTTTCCAGGCTGTTTTGCCCTTTCTCCTCTTCTGCATCATCCTTAGTTCACCGAAAGTTTGGGTGCCTCACTGCCTCCTTATTTCTGACACCCGTTTTAGGGGAGGCAATGCTTGAATCTCGTTCTTATTCACCTCACTCACCTCACTGTCTTGGTTGCGCCTACCCTTGCTTGCATTCAGTTGGAGCGCCCCATAACTTCCTGGTCTCTGTGTGAACAGTATTTTCATTTGCGCCATTCTTCCTGGCCAGTTGCAGGAGGGGACGTAGGGATAAGAATGTCAGGGGATGAAATCGGAGTTGAATGTGGTATCTCAGGGAGGGTGCCTGGGGGTTCGGGGAGGAAGCCTTAGGGGTCTGTTGTTCAAAGGGCCATAGGATGAGCAAGGTGATGGGGGCAGTGTGTCTGGCATCCTACCTATCATTCTCGAGACATTTAAATCAGGATACTTGGTCCAGTGTGCAGCCTCGGGTAGGCGTCGTGACCTTCGGGGGTTGGGGCGAACTTTCGGTCGTTGATGGCAGCCTCGACCCCCTAAGGTTGTGGTGCACTAACGCGCCAAACTTTCAAGAGGTCTCCCCGACCTAAGGCTAAGGGGCTCGTTAGACACTCCTTGGGGCGTCCCCGGGGCCCAAGGGAGTTTCCTTGGGGGTTTTGAAAGAAATTCCGCCCGTCGTTCCACCTATCCTTGGGGTGGTCTCCCAAGGATGATTCCTTTCAGCCGGCGGCGACCATTTTCATAATATTATAGTCAGCTGGGGGGGGGGGGGCAATGCCTTGGTCCATTGGGTGATGTCCGTCTTGCTACAGTGTGGTCCAGCTGCGGAAGGTGGGAAATTTTGTAAGGCGACCGGGAAAAAACAAAACCCTTAAAAAGCAATGGACCTCAGTGCCGGACCCGTGAACGTGAATGGGTCCGGCCACCTGAACGTGACCGGCCGTTCACCGGGTCCAATTCCCGTGAACGGCCGTTCACGGGGGCCGTTCAAGGCCCTGGTGGCCACGTGGCAGCCCGGGTGGTCGGCGTCGAGGTGCGATTGGGGTCGCGCAGGGTCCAGCTAGGACCCCGTACCTTCAAATCAGARAAAAAAAAAAAAAAAAAAGGATATTTGTGTTTAAAAATAAAATAAAATAAAATATTTGGGGGTTGATTGATTGATTGATTGATTGATTGATTGATTGGTTGGTG